GCCGTTAATGCACTTGAATGTCAGCAGGAGAATTTTAAAATCAACTCGTGACACGTACAGGAAGCCAGTGAAGAGAGGACAGAACCGGAGTAATGTGCTCAAACCTGTGAGTTCCTGTTAGTAGCCGAGCTGCAGCATTTTGTACGAGCTGGAGACGTGAAAGTGAAGCCTGACTAACCCCAACATAAAGTGAGTTACAGTAGTCCAGCCGGGTTGTAATAAATGCATGGACTAATTTTTCAAGGTCGGATCTGGACAGAACAGACTTAAGCTTTGCTATCTGCCTTAGCTGAAAGAAGCTTTTTAGTAGAACAGAGTTGATCTGTTTATTAAACTTAAAGTCCGAGTCTAACACGACCCCGACTGCTTTAGATGAGGCTGAAGGGAGTGCAGGTTTACAGGATCAGCGACAGTGGTAGAGCTTGGGTTAAACACAATGACCTCAGTCTTCTGATCATTAAAACTCAAGAAGTTCGCAGCCATCCAAGTCTTGATGTCATCAGAGGTCTTCAGGTTCAGCCGTGGAAATGTTGCAGCCTGAACATTTAGCTTTAGTTCAGACTGAAATCTGAGCCCCAGGTGTTAAATCTCGTTGTTAAATGTGGATGTTATCAACCTTACTGACATTATTTTATCAGAGAAGCCAGTTCTGAAGCACTGATTCACCCCGATTGTTCCTCTCCTGTTTACATGATGATTTTTAAATGTTTTTCTCTCACAAATGTCCATCATGTTTGTCAGCTGATTTCTGAGCATCATCATTGTGTAAACGAGCACTGTTTGAGTTGATGCATGTTGTTAACGTGTTTTAAATTGATGTGACATGTCTTTAGATGGTACAGGGCAGGAGCAGCGTCACATCAACATGTCTGAGTCTTGAGTTCTTCTATGTTTCTGACAGCTGAGCATGTGTCTCCTGCAGGCCAGCCAGCAGGTGGCAGCCTCTCAGCGCTCAGGCTCCAGTGCCATGTACATGAACCTGGCCCACATGCAGGCGGCGGCAGTGGGGGCCGGCGGGGTGGCGGGCGGTCTCAGCGGAGCTTCGTCCGTCAGCCCGTCCACCTTGTCGGGCTCGGCCGGCGGAGCTGTGGGCTCCATGGCCGACCAGGCCAGCAGCCAGGCGGCTGCCAAGCTGGCCCTGCGGAAGCAGCTGGAGAAGACCCTCCTGGAGATCCCTCCCCCCAAACCCCCGGCTCCGCTCCTTCACTTCCTCCCGTCTGCCGCCAACAGCGAGTTCATCTACATGGTGGGGCTGGAGGAGGTGGTGCAGAGTGTGCTGGACAGTCAGGGTAAGATGTTCTCAGTCTCGTTACAGCTGGAGGAACAGTTAGGTTTGGGGAGATCAGATGTTGTATTCACGTGTCCTCTGCAGGTAAACTCAGGGGGACTTTGTCCCGCATGGAGCCCTTCTTCTGTGCCCAGTGCCAAACTGACTTCACCCCCCACTGGAAACAAGAGAAGAGTGGGCGAATCCTCTGCGAGCAGTGCATGACGTCCAACCAGAAGAAGGCTCTGAAGGCCGAGCACACCAACAGGCTGAAGAACGCCTTCGTGAAGGCTCTGCAGCAGGAGCAGGTCAGCCCTGATGTTTACACCTCACCCCGGCCTCGCTTTTATTTATCTTTCCTTCAAGGATTACTTGATGTTGGATCATGTTTATAAGTGTCATGTTGCCTGATGGTGGTGGTTGTAATTGGTTTAAACTCGTTAATCTACAGGAAAATGAGAAAACACAGAATTTCTAAAGTATTTTTATAAATTCATCAAAATTCTAATAAAACTAAAACTTCCTTTTTCTATAAACGGACCTTTTCCAACAACTCTTGAAATGTAGCTCAGGTTCCTCCCATTTCTAAAAATCTCTGCTGAGATGTTTCTGCAGCCTGACTGGAGTCCACCTCAGTTGGACATGATCTGGAAGGACACCCAGCTCTCTGCAGAAGGTCTCGCTGACAGGAAAACCAAACCCTGAGGTCCAAGGACCTGTCTGCAGAGACCGGAGAGATTCTGAGGAGGACCACTGAAACATTTCAGGGAGCTCCATGATTCACACATGGAAGAAGTTAGACCCACCCAGGACTCTTCTAAAAACTGGTCCTAGTGAGCAGTCGAGGGAGCAGGACCTGACCAAGAACCTGATGGTCCCACTGACTGAGCTTCAGAGATCCTGTGGAGATGAAGCCTGGTTTATACTCCATGAGAAGCCTCGCTGACTTCACGGTGTGTTTATGGAGAAGTGGCTGCAGTCGGCTGATCTGAGAGCAGCATCTGCTGAGGAGCTGCCGGCCTGTGCTGTTGGCAACAACCTACAACTGTTGCAGCAAAGAAGTGTGAAGAAAGTCAAATTCAGCTTGTAAAGATGGTAAAAGAACTCGTGAAAGGACACTGGACAGTTTTGTTCTCACAGGACCCGCACAGAGACCCGGCTGCTCTCCATGCTGGTCCAGAGAAGGTGCGTCTCAGCCGGGCGGCTTCTGGACACGTTACCTCACAGTCTGTTGGAAACCGTGACGTCTCTTTGAGACAAATTAACTAAACAGTGCTTCTCCTTTGTGAACAACAGATCAGATCTTTCTCCTCCATCAACTGAAAGTAAACGTCCACTTTAAAAGCCGAGCTGTCTGAGTCGGTTCTGTTTGACGATGTGTGCTGAGGTGGGAGGGGCTTATCAGGATTTCTCCCCACATTTTCTCTTCAAGTATAAATAATCTGTGGGAAAAGGCCATGAACGTTGGTGAGATCCGACTTCTGTGCAACACTTGAAGGACTCTGACTGTGAAGACCAAGATCCTCTGGTCTGATGGAACCAGGACTGAACTGTTCAGAGCAAACCAGGCACCACATCACGTGTCCAACATCACCCCCACAGTGAAGCATGGTGGTGGCAGCATCATGCTACTTTTCACTTGCAGGGATTGAGTCTGGTCAGGGTTGAAGGAAAATACAAAACCAGTTCCACAGAGTTCAGAACCTCAGACTGGACTGAGGGTTCTGTGAACGTCCTGGAGTGGACCAGCTGGCCTTAGCTGAGAGAGGAGTTTACTTTTAATAAATGTATTAAACTGTAAGATCTGTGAAGTTTTTTATGGTACTGGGTGCAGAGAGTGTTTCTTTCGGCAGCTCCCAACCTCTTCGAGGGTCGCCACAGTGAGCAAACTCGCATGAAGGATTTGGCAATCGTTTTACTCCGGATGCCCTCCCTGGACTCGAACCCGCAACCTCTGAATTATAAGACCAGGCACTGACCACCAAGCTACATGAGGAATAAATGTTTTTGTATCAGCAGGCTTAAAAAAAACAAATTAACACCTGGGGGGGGGTCTGACTACTTCCTGGAGCTGCTGTTTGTGTGCTGTAACAGTGACTTGTCTTCTCATCAGGAGATTGAACAGAGGCTGCAGCAGCAGGCAGCCCTCTCTCCCAGCTCAGCCCCAACCGGCTCAAACGTCTCCAAGACCGACTCCATGATCCGACAGCACGCCCTGCGCCAGGTACCCCTCACAACATGACAAAGCAGTCATGTTGGATGATGAATGTTTGGAATACAACACATTTGCTTTTGGTTTGATTTGCTGCTCTAAACACAGATCTATATGAATTTGTGAGCATTTATCAGAGAATCTTTAGTCTTTGATGTGTAGAAGACGTCCGTCAGGACCACAGTCAGGACAGAGTTGACGGTGTCTTCTGTCTCCAGACTCCCCAGCCTCAAGCTTCTCTCCAGCGAGGTCTGTCCAACTCTGCCCGGGGAGTCCTGTCCAACTTCGCCCAGGCCTCCCAGCTGTCTGTGGCCAGCAGCCTGATGGGGATGAGCGGTGCCAAGCACTGCGGCAGCGGAGGAGGCAACCGACTGCAGCACGACAGCCGCCGTCAGATCTACAACATCCCAGGTACCGAACACCATCCACTTCAGCTCATCTGTCCAGAACTTTAGTGAACGTGTTTGAAGTTTTGGTGCGAGTGAGAGGGGTTCAGGTCCGTTTGTATTTTCACCAAGTCTTGCATCCGTTCAGAGGTACGAAGAGAAGCTTTACTTTTATTTTAATGGAGAACAACAGATGATGAACTAAAATGTAGAAAAAGAGAGACTACTTAAAGTTAGGAATGGATTTGTGCGTAATAGTTTACTTGCTGGAGGAACTCTTGGACGTTTGTCACCAGGTCTGCACTGAGGAGGGGGTTTGGCCCATTTCTCTTTACAGAAACTCTAAATGGTTCTTGGCCGGCTCTTGAAGCTTCAGCTCCTTTCTACAGAACTGAAGTCTGGAGACCAGCTAGACCAGTCCAGGACCTGAAGGAGCCCCTTCGTTGTTGCCTTGGTTGTATGTTTTAGGTCCTGCTGAAGAACCCATTCATCTCCTAGATTCAGTGATCTGGCTCAGGGACGAATGGTTCTGACCAGGATTTGATGGCACACGGCCCGGTCCTTTGGGCCGTCAGTGCAGTGAAGCAGAACCAGCTTCCTCTGACCTTGATTCACAAACAAAAAGCAAAAAATATTCATCTCTAAACCTATAAACGTATTAATCTGTAAAACTAAACCTAATGCGCACCACAGCTGGTGGTGGTGCGGGGTGGTCGACCCCCCCACTGTTTTTAGTTTAGTTTTTGAAGTGCCGCACGTTTCTTTCACTTTTGCAGTTTAATAATAATAATAATAACTAATAGTTTAGTTTTTCCTCTGACTTATTTGCAGTATGATAAATGGTAGGAGCATAATATACTCTCCCAATCCAAAAAAGTTCAATCTGGACCAATCATGTCCAGAGGACCAGATTGAACTTTTTTGGATTTTTCTACCTGGATTATTGAGCATGCATCAGGATATACTCTCCCAATGTTTTGTTGGTCTTTTTTTTTGTAAATAATAAATTACGTTTTTTTTGCAGTTTTATTTTATTTTTTTCATCTTTAGATCCTATGACATCTTCAACTACTCAAGTTCTGCTCGAGTTTTATTATGTTAATGTCAAGTTTAAAAATTATGTAGCCGTTCAGCCACTAATTATTATGGACTGGCCTGGTCCGGATCCAGGTTCAGGTTAGAAATGGCAGCTCTACCACGGGCACATGAAGCGGTTGAATACTTGTTTCACTGAGTGACACGTTTCTAACAGTTATGAAAGGCTGCCTTCTGTGGATTTTTCTGCTTTTAAATGAAACATTAAAAAAAGGAAGGAGTCCAGCAAAAGACAAAAGTCCATTCCGGTGTGTTCTGAATGTGTCTGCTCTGTTCCTGCAGGGTTAAATATTGCCTACCTGAATCCTGCAGCGGTCGGAGCCCATAAGACCTCCAGCTTAGCGGACCGGCAGAGGGAGTACCTGTTGGACATGATCCCACCTCGATCCATATCGCAGTCCATCACTGGACAGAAATGAGCCGCGCTGATCCTTCCTGCGTGTCAGAGGTTCACCTACTGACCCCGTTCTGATGCACTCCCAAATCAGACGATGCTCCATCCCATAATTCATCGCATGCAGTGCCTGTCCGTGTGCCTACCTGGAACCAACCCATAAGAACCCACCAAGCTGGACAAGACACGACCCGTCTGTGCATCTCAGTTCTTCTTACCGTGGAAAGTCTGATTGCTTTTATAATCCCAGGTGGCAGCGTTATTATACCTGCAGCCACCGTTTGAGTTCTAATTAGTGCTATTCATTTTGCTTTTCTCTTTTTTTAAGTGTTTTTAATGTTTCTATTCCTCCATCAATTCTAAATTTCAAGTAGAGACCTGAAATCATTGTAGGGTTGCTGACATCGTTTTCCTCTACTTGAGTCCAAAGTTTAGTTATGGCAACATAAAAAGATCAACAGGGTGCACTCTGGTTGCTATGCAACAAAAACTAACAACTATGAACTTTGTAAAAGTTTGCTAACATGGATTTGATAAAGAAAAAGGTGCCGAACAATCGTGCACTGAGCTCGCTCTTGAAAAGAGCAGTGAGCCTACGTGAGAGCGTGGATCATCTCAGCGGAGGCTCCGCCCACTGACGCACATCCAAACCCTGGTGTGTTCGCTCTGCCGCCATCAGGACTCGTGAACTGGAACTGACTGTACAGAAGAGAACCGCATGAACCCGGAGCTTGGGAAACGTTCTCCCCGCTGTCCTTCATCGAGACGTTTGCATTTCATCCGAGTTACAGATCCGTTACCTGGAGACGTCCGTCAGCGGGAACAGAGGAGCTGGCGAACCGCCAGACTTGGTCTGGAGACGTCCGTGGCGTCCAGGTGGAGGACGGCTCCCCTCGTCCCTCCTGACGTCAGCTCTCACTGAAGATTGTACTGAACACAAGGTCCGGATCGCAGATCCTGCACCTAAAAACCTGAGCTTTCAGCTCGTCTTCTGGTTTTTGGGCTGTTCGGTTCCCTCACATCTTTTCTGCTTATTTCATTAAAATTTTATTTTGAGCGGCGTCTCCTAACGAGTTGGTGGCACACCTGAGAGGTATCAGCCCCCGGAGACGATAATAATCAACGCAAACAGAAACTATCAGATATCTCTATGGACTGTGTATAAAACCCTAGCTGCAGAGAATAAAGGAGTCTGGATGTTTTACAGGAGAGACACGGATCAATCATTGTGTGCACGCTCTGCGCACAAGTTGCCTCACTCCAGAGGAGCACTTTTCATATTTCCGATTGGAAATTTTTGTTTGTTTGTTTTTGTTTTTGGTAAATAAAAAAAAGAAAAAAAAAGAAAGAAAACAAATGGAATAGAAAGTTACTGAGGTCTGGATGTCAGCTGCTGGCCCAGCAGTGAAACGTCCTCCCTGTTGGACAACGGTCCCTACGTCCACATTGTTGACCTTTGTCCTCGTTTGGACCCTTTGTGCCCGGCGTGGTGAGGTCCATCCAGCTCGTGTGTACAGTAGATGCTGCTGGAGAGCGGCTCGCATTACCTCATCAAGGGGAGAGTACAACAGGAATACGTCACGCTGTACTTTCTTTTTCGTTGGTAGACAATCTCCACACCTTTCTGGCACCTGGGGCACTAAGTGAGCAGGACACGGTGAAATGATGCAACCCAAACCAGCACGTCCGCAGAGAGTTCGGCTTCAACCTTCACTTTCTTTACACATGCTGCTTTGCTCACAAAGTGACGGCAAAACCGCTTTAGGCTTGAATTTTCTCGTAGAGGATTTTATTTTGAAGAAACGTTGGATCAGGAGTTGAGGCTTTGCGTGGTTTCCGCGCCCGCCTGCACAGAACCGATGGAACCCATCTGATGCAAGGTCCCAGTGGTTCACGCCCCAAAGCACTTGGTCCATCTTATACTGGTGGTCTATCCTTTTCTAGACCAACCCAGGAGGTGGTGATGGCCTAATGATAAACTCGGCTCTAATTAAAGAAAGAAGTTGAGTTTTTCTTAGTTTTCCTGGACGTTTAGCAGCATTTTTGTTCTCAGTTCCCAAAACGATGTAAAAATGAATCTCCAACACACGTGGCCACATTTTCCTTTTTATTTTAGCGTTTCTTACTCACCTCGTGTGGCACCAGCTCTTTAACTGTGGGCCTGTGGGTGCACACGTTCTGCCTGGTCACCTTCAGTGTCTACTGCGTTTGGCTGCAGACGACCTGAAGGGCCCTCACAGCTGGTGACCCATGACAGGCCTCACGGTGGAGGGGAACTGGAAACCATGACTTGTCTCTTGTAGCGACCCAGTGAAGACCTTTTCATCCACAGTGGGAAGCAGAAAGACGGTTGAAAACGCACCGACGGCTCAGAGTGGTCAGTTTGCAGCAGCTCAGGTATTTGAAGCAGTGTTCAGTCAGTGTGCAGTATTATTATGGAACATGGGTCCTCCATTCAGGATACTGACGCTGTGGGGGGGTCATCACTTTCAGTCCAACTATGTTACTGCGTTCTCTGGGGAATATTTGAACTGAAGCAAGTTTTAAAGCCCACATCTGATGTTTATTACGACTCGTCTGAGTGGGGTTTCACAGTTCTAGAGTATCCAGAGTCGACCCAAACGGCTTGCCGTAGACAGATCTTTAACTCGTAGACGAGCGTTCTACCAGCACTGGAAGATCCCTCCACTTTTTGGGCCCAGGCTGTTGTTTCTTCAAACCGTTGGTTTATTTCTGAACATCTTCTATATGAATGAAACGATGGGTGTTTAAAATGAGTGTTTCTGTCCATAAGACCTGCCTGTTGACCTAGAGCAGTCATGTCAAACTGGTTCAAAACCAAAGAAGTCCATGCTCGATAATCCAGGTATACAATCCAACAATTTTCATCTGGACGGTTTCTTTTTTTGTTGAAACGTTTCACCTTCCATCCAATCGTATAGTTGGATTATTGAGCATGGACGTTTTTGGTTTTGAACCAGTTTGACATGACTGTTCTAGAGCGTCGTACGGGGTCAGCTCTCAGACTCCGAACAACAGGTCTTCTGTCGTTTCTGAGTTTGGGAGATAAGGTCAGATGGTTGAGAATAAAGTCAACATAGTATTCCAAAAATACAATAAAGAACAATGACGTGAACCTAGGCCTGTCACGATAAATAAATTAATCGCATGATAAATGAAAAATATCGACCTCATTTTCATTTATCGGCTTTCACGTTTCATGTTTCTCTTTCTACTGAAGACACTGGATGACAAAAATCTAAACTCCGGTGCTCTTCACTGACCCCTCCCTTTTTCTTTTCTCTTTAAAATCCATTTTAACCGTCTAAAATCGCATTTTTGGATCGTTAAAAGCAGCTAAGCTACGAGCTAAGCTAACAGGCCGACCTCGTGGGAAAACCTCCGTCTTGTCGAAGTTCCAAAATTCACGGTTGAAATCCGTTCCTTCGTGTAAAAAGTTTGTTTTTCTCTGCAACAAGAAGCTGAGAACTTAACTGATTTAAAAAATATATATTATTAAAAGCTTTGTGTGAAAAATGCTATGCTAAAGAGAGAGAGAACCGTTAAAAGTAAAGAGACAGCCCATGTCATGTCAAGGGGCCTCCCTCCCATTTTTCTTAAAGACACGCTGCTCACTCCCTCACTATCCATCCTTTGGTTCAAACAGTCTTATACTGCCATCGGGTGGTCAAAAAAGGTACTAGACTCAAAATAAATTAAACAACATTTCTTCTTAAATTTGACAGTAATTACAGATTATTGTCAAATTTCAAACAATATTGTCGTTTATCACAATAATTTCTGAGACAATTAATTGCCCAGCAAAATTTATTATCGTGACAGGCCTACGTGAACCTTGTGCTCCTGAACTAGACGGAATTTGTTCTGATTTTTTTTATTTTTATACACCCGACCAAGGCTTTTATGTCTCTGTACATAAACGTTCTCTGGCCCCACCCGTGACCTGATCCACTCAAGACAATTTAATGGAATTTGATAGATATTTGTACCACCACTAGCATGTTGCATTAGCTTTCATCCCCCCAGCTCCAAGGTCAAGGTCACAAATCAAGGTCAGAGTAATACAAGGTTCAGTCCATGGCTATAAATTGCTGTTTGGCGATGGGCGTGTAACGTGTCGTATGTGGTTCTCTTGTTGTCGTCTACCCATTTTTTGAGATGAACTACAGAAAAACAACTTGAGGTGTTTTCTTGGATCGGTCCCATGTGCTGTCCTTGTTATTTCAGCAATCATAACAAAGGAACTGGCAGGAATTCCTGCAGTCCCATATCATGAAGTATTTCTATGGGTGGGACCAGTTGAACCGAGGGGGTTTCCTAAACGTCTCCATGGTTCCTGGGGTTTCCTCGTGTCCGTCAGAGCCTCTGTCTTGTAGCTTGTTTTCGTGTCAATGGGCTGTTTTTTGATTCACCTTTTAATCTGAAGTTTAGTTTATTGCTGCTATTTTGACTTTATTCTCAAACTTTCAAGACAAAGAGTTTACTCCATTTTTATTCTTCTGAGTAGATGTACGCCGTCATAAACTCTGGACTCCTTTTTAACGTTACTCAGCGTTTTTTTTTTGTTTTTCAGTTTGTATTTTCATAAAGTTCACGGTTACTCTAACCAGTGTAGTTTATTTAAATTCCTTCAGTCCAGTTAAATATTCCAGTCAGTTTGATTCATCCGTCATCAGATTTAGTCAAACTCCAGTTTCATCGCTTGAGCCTCCTCCAGAACTCGTTCCTGTCCCTCTGGCGCTGGTACCAGGAACATGTTAGCGCTACGTTGAGACACTCAAAACACCGTTAGGTCTCGGCATGGCTGGAGACTCTTCTGCAATCCCCTCGAAGTGTAGGAAAGATTTAAAATAAAATAAAAACACGACAACAGTGTAGTGGATACAACCTTACAGAAAACGGCTGAAATGTTCGAGCTTCTCTTCAGTGATAGAAAATAAAGATTTTATGTTTTGACCTTGACTCTGGTAAGTCTGCGTTTAACGCTGTATAAGAAAATGAAACCTGATCGCAGTGGAAGTTAGCATGTTTTAATTAATGTATTTAATCAGCATAACGGCTTGGTAAATTGGCAAAGGACTTCTGTTCTACTATATTAATTATTAAAGGAAAGTTTCAGCCTTTTTAAACTGGGTTTCTTTATAAAAGTTAATATCTTACCTGTTGCAGGTGGATTCTTGAATAGCCTCGTTTTGAAGGAAGTTTCCATCCGACTGGACTGGACTTGGCTAACGGCTAATCTAAACACTATTTTGCACCTCCGTTAAGTTTTATTCTACGTTAGTTTCAGCAGAAATGTTACATTCTTTAGGCGTAAATCCCTGCTAGAGCTCAGTGTTGTTACTGGTCGTGTGATTTACTTGTGTAAATCTTTACACAATTCCACGTAAATATTGTTTAACTGTACTGTCCAGTGATTTTTGAAGTGACGTTCTATCCGATGGTTATGAACCGTATCTTCTCAGTCACAGAGCTCGGAGCATAGACAAGGCCAAAAATAATATTTTATCATTTTTCAGGTTTATTAAAGTGTACAAACGGGTGTAAAATAACACGTACGTTAGCTTGTTGCGGACGTCTGTGTTGGTAAGCGCCTGTTTGAGAGGAGAATAGAGAGCCCATGCTTCTATCAGTCCTCTGGGAGCCGACTAGCATTCAGCCCCGAAGACGACATCCTGATTAGCACAAGTTTTTCAGCTGAGAAAAGTGTGGCCAACTAATCTAAAGATTTATTGTTAGCTAACGTAGCACTCTGTCTCACGGGAATTACATTTTTCAGAAAGTTGGTTTTAATGCTCCAAAAACATTGCAAAGCTTTCCCTTGCTTAGCTAGCATTAGCCCAGTGGTTCCCAACCCTTGTCCTTGAGGAACCCAGTCCTGCGTGTTTTCGTTGCTTCCCTGCTTTGACACACCTGATTTGAATGAATGGATGATTAGCGGGCTTTAGCAGAACTTCAGGAAATAATAAAATCACTGAATCAGGTGCGTTGGAGCAAGAAAACAACTAAAACATGCAGGATGGCGTTCCTCAAGGACTATGGTTGGGAACCAGTGCATTAGCCTAGCCTGAGCTGTCTTCTACTGTTTATTTCAACTACTCTGTCACAGCTAAAAGGTGCTAAGTGATGATCATCTGACTGAACGTCTCTTTCTAAGCCAGCAGAGTAAATGTTTATAAAACGGCCTAAACATAAATCTTTATCAAGTTTGGAAGGTTGGAGTTGTTTTAAAATGGCAGCAGTTGACTAGGCTGCGTTCAAACTAGCCGTTAGCTTATCGGTCCAGTTACACGTCAACTTTTTTTTTTTTTTTTTTTGTGTAGTTGTTGGAGAAGCTTCCGACAACTGGTTCGATATTAATGAACAACTTCTACTTTAAATCAGAAATCAAAATGTTAGCAGCTCTGCCCAGATCTGACAAATAAGACTTGAGCTCTTTAAAGGCTTGAGCACCGAGCGTTTTTACCCTCCATGATGTTCTCGTGGCAGCTCTGCACCGTGCACACTGCTGGACTGGACTGGTTTGTTTGGGTCCATTTTCAAATGGGTTCTGGTTGGACTAGAATCATCCAGACCTGCCTGGGTCTACACGGGAGTGACGCTAAAAGACTCAACTCTGAATGACGTTTCGAGGTTTACAAATCATTAACTTTTGTTGGACCAACCGTTGTAGCGATTGTGGTTTCACAAAGATTTAACGCCCGCAGGATGTTTTTACGCCACCGTATGATTTAACGCTGTTTCATACTTCTACTTCTGCTGCCAAGTGTAAGAAAAGACCCGTACTTTTTTGCAGATGCATCCATACACCTTTGTATTTGGACTTGCAGGTTCTTTTCAGATACAAGGTTTTTAGATTTCAGAAGTCATTTTTATTCTAATGTCTCAGCAAAGTTCTTTTTCCTGTTTATTGCAGTTAAAAAAAAAAACTAAATGTATTGAATAAATGACACGATATTTGCTAGG